GCCGTTTCTTCTGCGCAGCACAGGTTTCTTCCTGAAACTCGGCCATGGTTATTCTTCGTCGGGCGCCACTATCAGGTTCAATGTTTCTTCTTACCTTCTTCGGAAACATACAATGACCTGACTAGAACAGAGAGCTTACTAAAGCTATGTTCACTAATTGTAGTAAGTAGACAGGATACAGACGAAGGGTATACAAAACCCTTTATTTTTCTTTATATACAATGACTTCCGTACTTCGGATACAATGACCCTCCACTCGGGGTCTAACGTAAAAGATATCAAAATAAAACTAAACTCTAATTTAACTTTAGAATAAGATTGGCCTACAAATACGTTTAAATTTATCAAGAGGATTAAAACCTCTGGCCTGGAAGGCAAATAGCAACTGCGTAACTTCTAAGGTAAGCGGCCTGCTTCGAACTCACTGCTTCCTCTCTTCTGCTTGGCAAAAAGGCCACACTTAAATACTTGGCGTTCGCCAGACAACTTTGCATAAACTCCTTCACGCTTATAATTCTGGCCGGAAGTAGAAAATAAGAAGTGATAGTAAAGATTTAAAATAAAATAAACGTTAGTAAAACTTAAGATCCTTACAATACTTACAGTACCGCACTATATGCAAACACTGTCATAAATCTATGTGTCTGTATAAAACTCTCGCAGGTACAGTAGGACGTAGGACCTCAGATGTAGCTGCCTTGAACACCTATAATGTCTATATATCAGGTTTGCCTGTACGCCATCCTAAAGCTCAATCACATAACAGCAAGAGCAGATATAGTGTTATAAATACATTCTATATGCAATGTTACTCCTGACAATGTATTTACAGAGTTGAATCTGCATAATGTAAATTGTAAATGTAATGTCAATAATGGTAATGTAATAAATACCCCTATTATCTCATATCTCATATATAATGTCAATGCCGTATCGCATATATAAGACATACAATATCATAATTATGTAAATATGTATATGCACAGCACTATTTATACGTGCATTGCAGTAATTTAGTTGCAACCGCCTTCTGCACACATGTAATGTATATGTACAAGCTCTGCATGAAAGCTCTTCCAAGCTCACTCGCGTAATTACAGGAGTAATTATTATGTTCTATACATAGCTATATGCAATGTCACTTCCTACAGAGTAAATGCAATGTTGAATATGCGTAATGTAATTGTAAATGTAATGTCAATTAATGTTAAGTATAATTCCTTAATTGCCTCATAAACTGTAATATTAATGTCTTTTGTATCGTATAATATACACTTCTCTTCTTTTCTATTGTACACTCTCACTTCTTTTCTATTTAGGTTTTCTTTACTGACACTTTAGTTTTTTAAACTTTTATATAAGGTACGAATATAACTTTTCAGATATTTAAATTTAAATATTAAGAGGGTTGCAAATATATTTTTTGGAAAAGTACTTTAAATATATGATTGCTTGATTTATTAAAACTAAAAGGAAAGATGCTTGCTTCCAATAATCATTTGCTGTTCATTTTCTGATGATATAAGTACGGTGTCTTACAAAAGCGAAGAACGCTTTAGTTTAGGTATTACTATTAGCTCTTAAAACATTCTTTCAACTTCTCAGTATGGATTCAAATACATCATTTATGATTTCTGGTCGTATTTTTCTTCACTATTCTTGTGTTACTAATTCAACTGAAACTTTAAAAAATATTTTTTTACGAATTTTATTTTCCTGTTCTTGGCAAATTCATCAGAGTTTAAATCTGGGTACTGAAGATTTGTTTAGAATATTCAAGGTATGTAAGCCCAGTTTACATTATAAGAGCTGGTTTGCATTATCCAATCTAATATAGTAGATTCTAATATAGAGAGAGTTCGGATTATGTAAACACTCACTTTAGATTATTAATAAGGAAGTCAAGATGATTCATTAAACAACGTTCAAGAGTCGCACATTCATAGTTAAAGGCATAAGATCATCGTCTTGGCAGATTATAAAAGTATTTTGTTCATTAAGTTTTCGCATTAAGAAATTCAAATTTTATTCCAAAATATCAATATGTTATTTTTCATTATGCTATCATGAATTTAAGATTACATTTTGAACAACTGCTATGTCCATCGGTTTCTTAGTGGATAAAACCAATGAATACTAATAATTCAACCCATACTTGAAGCCTAGCAAACAGACTAACAAGCAAGTATTCCTAAAATGTCCTCTAGGAAGACATCTCCTCCTTGAGTAACTAGTCTGTGTAGTCGTTTCCATCTTACAAATAAAAAAACGTACAATCAAAAGAGTAGCAACAACATTCACATTAGAAGTCTTTCTATTCCATGTTCTGTTGCTGAAATTAACTTCAGTTTTTAAAATTCTTCCTCTAATTTGCTCCGTTACAATTTTAATCAAAAAGGTTTAATGGAGCTCACCAGTGGCCGAGAGGTGAAAGCCGCTGAACACTGGCAGTTCGGTCCAGGCTTCGAATCCCGACGAACGAGCTGGCTGCATGAACGTTTTCGTGTTTTTCCGTATGAGCCAGACCTTCACGGGGCATCCTTCCCTTTCCGTGTACTGCCTAAGGGCGGAGCACGTAATAAGTAAAAGTGAAAAAGAAGGTTTAATGAGCTTCAGGCATCAAATATTATCGTATTCTATTACGAATGATTCTTATTTTTGATAACTTTGAGAATTTCATTATTTTGAGAAAGAAAGCTGAAGCTTCCCGTTCTTCGCTTAACGTAGAATGTTTTCTTTGCGTCTGTTCTTTATACTCAGCAGATCAGATTGCTATTTTATTAAAAGCTTCTGAACTGAAAAATGCCCCATATTATCTGAATAATGATTGCATGTGACTAAACTTCAAATATTTATTTGCACTCTTTTTCTCAAAATTATTCTTACTCTTTCCGTAATGACAATCAGTATAACGTTACAGTTTCTCTTGATGCGGAAAACAATTTTACCAGAAACACGGTATTTCTTCTATACTTACATGAAAATATATATATATATATATATGTGATGTACCAGCTTTTGTCAGGAATAAATAGATTGTTGAAGAATCATCAATGTAGTCGTAGCTTAAATAATCAGACGATAAGTTTTAAAAAACAGGATCCATTTATTATATTTCAGGAGAAAATAGCAGTTACAAAATCAGATATCCGGAATAAATAAAAAGAATTACTAATCACTTTTTATATGAAGTTTACTGCATCGTGACATTAAAGAAAAAGCCCCGATATTCCTTTTGCGAGTTTTTTATAGCCTCTGGAAAGGCGGAGCTTCCAAGAAATGACGTCAGCCTCGTCAGCCAATCCAGTTCGCTTGAAAATCTCCAGAACATTCTAAAAACTGTACGTGTAGAAAAGGCGGGAAAAACAACTTGACTACGAGGCTGTGGATTTAATTCCACGTACGTTCAAATAAGAGAACTTCGCAATTAAAAATGAAAAGAACATACAGTTAGAATTTTAATTGTATTGACTATGGAATTTTATTATTACAAATATATATACTGGAGAGTGCAACACAGAAAAATCAATAGACATTTTAAGAGCTAGAAAATAAAATGAAAGGTATTTGTTTCCCCTTTTTTTTACAGAGTTGGTTGTTTTATTAAATTTCATTTTGATAATTGATATAGTATCCAATGACAGTGAAAATTTTAAAATTGGAAACCATCATCAAAATTGTTTAAAAAAAGATTGATCTCCTAAACATAATCGTATCACCTAATATTTAGTTTATTAATAAGGGTTATCTCCTAAGAAATTACTATAATCCGACAACTTTTAACGACATAATAATATTTATTCTTTTAAAATTAATATAAAAAATTAGAAAAAGTATTTTGCAAATGTATATTACAATCATTGTGAAATACATCTCAAACATATTTTCTTTTTAAAAAAAAAAAAGAAGAACTAACATGAATTTTTAAATTCAAAGTATAAATCACATAAGGCTTTGAATTTCGCACTTAAACTGAATAAAATTAAATAAAATTTCGTTTTAAATATGAATACTTTTCAGAAGAATCTTGATCTATTAGAACTTCAAATTGAACTAGTCTGTGTAAGTATTGTTTGCTCAGAGAGATTGGTGATTAATAATTGGAATAATATGCTTTCTAATTTTTGAAATCATATGCAATCAGTTGTTAAAACTGGAGTCCTAAAAATGCATGATGATGTGGTTTTGGGAGAAAAGATGAAACCCGGATCACGTTTGCGTTATGGCCGAGAAGACTGTTGCTTAGACGACGACTGATGAAAACTCACAACTGGATTACTGGTTAAAGCATTATTTTTATTTAATACAGAAACAATAATTTGGAAATATAGCTCTGGTTAAAATTGACACAACACTAGGGGTGTTATATACGCCCCACCGTTACAATATGCTTACTTTACATTTTAGACAATTAGAAGAAAGTAAAGAAAGAAATGTGGTCTCGCAGTGCAGAGAGATTGCAAGGAAAGTGTGACGTAACATGCGGCAGAGTTGCGCAGCGATGCGTATCCTTTGAAGCGGGGATGCGCTTTATTAAAATTAGTGAGTCTGAAGATCTATTGATAGTTGATTCCAATTAATTTTAATAATTTTGTTTCATATTGTATGTTTTATATACATATATAATTTTCTTAAGTATTTCTTCTAAGATCTGGTTCACCGGGTAGAAGTTTCATAAAATTAATAACAATGATCACTTAGATGATAAATTCGGAAATTTTAAATTCAGTCATTTTTCTTAAAGTCTGAGCTCTAAGCAAATCATATACAAAGTTGTAGTACGTTTTAACTTCTGAAATTTTTGTCCAGGAGGAGACACACTGTTAACAGTTTCCGTAAAATTTATACCCATCACAACTCTCTTAAACTTACTCATTTTCCCTCTGTATTTTAATTGCCAAATTTACTGAAACATATTGTATTGTTATGTTAAATTTATGTATTTATAATGTGTAACAGAAATTTAAACTATATTTAATGACTTTTTATTGCATTTACAGAAGGTTACTCAGAAGCACGTTCGTCAAAATCTTCCTCCTGCACTTCTCTAGCAGGTAAATGAATCCTATGCAATAACTTATTTTTCCTATCATAAAGTTGACTCAAAACTAGCTGTACAATTTTATTGATACATCATATAATGAACCATTTTTATATTAAAGGAATATTTTTTTTTCAGTATAGAATTTAAACATATACATTTTATTTATTTTTAACATAAAAATTGCACCTGAATTTAAAAAAAATTAAACCAGTTTCTTTTTTTTTTCACATTTAAAAGAGCTTTTAAATAAACTGAATTTTAAGCAATTTAATTTCGAAATTCAAAGCTTTATGTGATTTATTCCTTTGAATTTCAAAGACATTCATGTTAATTCTTTATTTAAAGGGCATATACATTTCATAATTACCGTAATATTTGTTTCCAAAAGCACTTTTTCTAATTTTCTGATCAGCGGCTCCGAAAATGTTCTTATACCTTAAGAAATTGTAGAAAAGGCATTGTAGCCCGAAATTAAATTCGGATATAAAGTATTTTTTCATATTATTTCCATGTGATTTTGAATAAAACCAAACCTTTTTTTTTTATACTGACTTATTTTCTTTTTCTAAAACTGAAAATGTAAAAAGGCTTAAATAAAACACGCGTTCGTACACTAAAATAGTTTCGTAAAATTTCATAAAAAAAATTACCGCCTGCCACTTTCTTTTATTTTTATATTTTGATGACATTTTAAAAATCGTTTGCCTTTATTCTTTCCTTGCTTACTTCGTTAACGTTTTCCAAAAGTTAAGTACGGAGAGGAAAATGCTAATTTCCGGAAGCCAATCAGAATTGAAAGGATGCAGTTCGCTGCAGAGGTAGATGGAAGTATGCAAACAGGTAACAGCTATTGCGCTTTCATGTCAAGAAATATGCAAAAAAGGCAGTCTTATAAGAAGCCAGCTTTATGAAGGGTTACAGAAGTTGATTGTAAGTGCTGATAGAAGATTTTTAAAGCATTCGTACAATTTGTTTTAAAGACATACGTATTCCTATGACTTCCAGAAGACGAATGGAAGATTCTGAGCGCTGGCGTGCTGTGGGGCGTATTGAAGCAGGACAGTCGATCACACATTTTGCTCTTTTCTTCGGCGTTCATCATTCTCTAATTTCACGTTTATGGAAACAATTCCAAACCACACAGACAGTTGTCCGAAGGCCCGTAGCCGGTCGCCCAAGGGTTACAACCCCCGCGGAAGACCGATATATTGCTATTGTAGTCAAGCGGAATCGCAGAGCGATCTCCACACGTGTGACATCGGTGGTTACAGCGTCCATTGGTAAGGCGATATCTGCAGCAACTGTACGCCAAAGATTACATGTGTGTGGACTGTACGCCCGGATACCTCGAGTTTGTGTTCCTCTTTCCGTCCAATCAAGAGGGGCACGATTACAATGGTGCCAGGAACATGTCAGTTGGAATGTGTCTGACTGGGGCAATGTCATGTTTACTGATGAGTCAAGATTTGCTCTGAGCCAGATGACAAGCGTATAAAGATATGGCGTGAACAACGAACACGCAATAAGTCCCAAAACATCACCGAACATCACGCATTCCGAGGCGAAAGCATTATAGTGTGGACAAGGATTTCATTAAGATACCGCACCGACCTGCACATCTTTAAACGGGGTTCTTCGACGGCTGTCCAGTATCGAGATGAAGTTCTAGAACCCATTGTGAGATTGTACGCTGCAGCAGTTGGCCTTAATTTTGTTTTAATGGACGATAACGCACGTCCCCATAGAGCTGACATCGTCGATGACTACCTGGAGAGTGAAGGGATTGCGCGTAGGGCGTGGCCAGTATATTCGCCCGACCTTAATCCCATTGAAAATCTTTGGGATGCTCTCGGCCGTGTTGTATCTTCACATTTCCCATCTCCAGCCACTCTTATTGAGCTGGAAACTGCTCTCCAAGAAGAATGGCGATTGCTTAATTCTACGGTGGTTGACCACCTAATTGAAAGCATGGTCACAAGGTGTAAACTTTGTATACATATGAGGGGGGAGATCACATACCCTATTAATGACCTTTTTTTTTTTTTTTCATTTTTATAATGTTTATTTTCACTTTATACATAATTCTGTTTAAGTCTCCAATATGTCATTATCTGATAACTTACAAAAATTTAATATTGTTTTCATTTCTGTATATAATTATTGATTTTTTTTATGCATAAGTATATGTGCTACTTTCCTGCCGAATTTTGTGTCAATCAAAGCAGTATTTGTTGATTTTTTTTTTTTTTTTTTTTTTTTTTTTTTCATTTTTACATCTTCGTGCTTAACTTTTGGAAGTGAGTGTATTTTATTTAGTATTTAAAAATGGTTCGCCGTCTTAAGGGGAAAACTTATAGCATTTGAAAATTGACCAGTTTTCCGATATCGTAGTTAATTAAATTAAGTAAATTTATCCCATCCTGCGATGTAATATGCGATGAAACGATTTGAAGAAGGAAATCGGATCGAAAATAAAGTAAGAAGAGGTCGTCCGACAAAGTTAAAGCAACGTGATCAGAGATTTATAGTTAGAAAAGTTTTGTAAAATCTATGTTTGACTTTGTGAGGTAAATTTTCTGCTACTTTTTGAATATTCATTTAAAAAAAAAAAAAAAAAGTTTTTCTATGTTCATAAAATAACTAATGTAGTTTTAATAAGAGAAATTTAGAAATATTATTAAAACATTCTAATTTTCAAATAGTAATTTTTAGTAATGAATAAATTTTAATTTAAATGAATATTTGATTAAAACTTGCACGAACACTTCTGGGAACCACTATATTCATTTTCAGTGAATAAAAATTATTATGAAGTTACACAAAAGTAACAATTAGAGGTAATTTGCTATAACGAAGTGTGAAGTAATATTTATTATTTTATGCGTAAAGAACAATCATAATCATGCGTTTTATTATCTAAAAACGTTAAGCAAAATATGTGTTAATATTTATATTATATTTTTAAAATATTATTTTAACATTTATTATCTCAAAAATATCAATTACAAAAACTTGTCATTTTTACTTCCTTGTACGAAGTAAAGTAAATATTGTAATCACGAAAAATTCCGGTTTTTATGTTTCAACGAAAATATTCATTTTGACCGCTAACAATATTATTATAACAATATTAACAATATTATTAACATAAATTATACGCATGTAAAAAATGCGTATAATTTAATATTCCGTACAAGGAAGTCATGTGGTGTGCACATCATATTTTTTATATGATATGTTTTTGCGTGGCATCTGTACGTAAGGACAAAATAAAGGACTCTTTTTCCCCAAGTGAATTATAAAAATGATTTAAAATGGATTCAGAAGAGATTTTTTTCGTGGCGTCTGTACGTAGGTACGTATCTCGCATAACTCAAAAACAGTAGACTCAGACCATTGAAATTTTGTATGTGGGACTGCTATATCATATAGATGTGAACCTCCCTTTTTGGTTCCAATCGGTCGTACCAAAGCACATATACATATATATATATATATACCCACTAAGTTACGAGGCTCCGTGAGCTCAGTTTTTATCATTCTTATATGTTGGTAAATTACACATTTTTTTCTTTAAAATTGATTGAATTATGTTGTTCTTATCTTCCAGTTAAGGTTTTATGCCTTTAGTTAATCTGCATGCAATAGCTATAGAATTATGAACAATTTAAAAGTTGTTTAAGTGCGGCTGAGGCTATTTATTTTCTATAGCAATCATATTTGTTTACATTTGAAACTTAGCAGAATAGTGAATTCAGTTTCTGCACCTTCAGTGTCTTTTTGCGGAGTGGGGCCAAAATTAAACTTTCATTTTTTTGCAACGAAAAATCTCCCTTGTTCCCTGCTGATCGAATTGCTTCTTTCTGCATAGAAACTCTAATTTTAATTGTAATTTTTGTTTGTTTGATTGTTTTAACTGTATTTGATATTTTTTCTGTATCTTTTATTTTTTTAATGAGAATATTTTGAGATTTTTTATGTATTTTGCCTTGCCGCGAAGTGAGAACTGAATTAATTGAGTGAATTAATTACGAGTAACACAATACACATTAGGTAAGCGGCGCTGAATCGTCTGTGGAAAACTATTTCTTTCTTATTTGTTTTATTTTTTTATACATCGTTTTAGATTTATGATAGTATTTGAATAGAACATGTGGCAAGGATTAGATAATTCTTCATATGATATAATTTTTGTGCATTCTGAGTTACGAATGACACGTAACGTTGTTAAGTAAACCTAGCGCCAGAGTCTCGCTATGGTAAACAAATATAGCGAAATTATAGTGCATTTATTCTATTGTGTTCTATGCGTTGTCGACGAAGTAGATTTAATTCAATTCAATAAGTTTAAATGCAGTGCAGAAAAAATGCGTATAATTTAATATTCCGTACAAGGAAGTCATGTGGTGTGCACATCATATTTTTTATATTTAATGTTAGTAACGTATATAACACCTACAGTATTTCATGCCATGAAAGATAATGTTCATGTAGTTGATATAACAGTAAAAATAAGCTTAAGTAGTAATACACTGTAAATATATTTTATTATTCCTTTCGGTTTTCTTGATGGAATTTTTCTTCCTCCAGCATCTTTTCTTGTAAAAATGCAGAATATATATATTAATAATAGATTGTTTAAATCATCACAACAAAAGGCTATTAGTGAATAAGTTTGTAGGTTAGATCGTTTGTAGTAGGATCAAAAGCTGTGCTCAAATATTCGACTGCACGAAGTGTCCCTTCTGCTGTTCAAAGTGTAAAGAGCTGCTCTAAAGTCTTTCACTAATACAAATGTATCAGTCACGTCAGAGGGAACAGTGATGTCTTAAAATTACTCTAAAATCCTACACTTTTATCTCCACGTTAACTTTCAGGTAACAAAGGATTTAAAATGATTGTAAATTTTTACGTTTGGGTAATGAAGATATTAATGTTTTTAAAGCATTTAATAAATGTGAACAATATTTAATGTATTTATAACACTGAATGTCTGTCACTACATACTATTGGTTAGTGAACATTTGTCTTTTTTATATGAAGTTATAGAGATATATATTAATTAATTTTTACTGTTTTATATATGAATTTATGACTTGATTTTTACAATGTTTTTCGTTGTAATATTTTCAGTTCTTGTGCATATTAAGTAGCGTTTATTTTATATGACTAATTTTTGTTTCAGACGAAAATCAAGATCTTCAACCGGAGCAACATTCTAAATATGCCTTTAAAGGTGAGAAATTACTTTTTTAATGCTCTACCTTCACGAAATTTAAAACTTTCTATCATATTTTATGTCTGTTTATGTTGAGCGCACTGAAATAATTTATTAGTAAGAATTAGCTTAGACTGATATTATATTAGTGCTCTATTTACGCAAATTTATAATCCGTTAATGTGGATTTCTAGTTTTTTAGCAAATTAATTTTTCCATGTCATACTTTTTATTTTCATTGTATTATTAACAATAATTAAATAATAAAAGTATACATATTGTTAAGATTTTCTTTCTTCTGACATCAGTTGTTGCGTTATTTTCTTCCTTCACGTTCGTACGGGGTTTGTGTGGATTTGGAGTGAAAAAACGACGACACTTGATGAAGTATCGAAAACACACTTTATTTGCCAGTATTGTCAGGACAGCTCCAAAACACGTTTTACAGTCGTCGATGAATTACTATAAACACGCTGACACGATCAGCGACACGGCCTTCAGGTTATCAGGCTATCACGGTGGAGACAGCTTCATTGCAAAGCACCAGAGTACAGCTCCTGACTCTGCTTGGTCGTTCTCGGAAATCCACGTAGTCTCGAGACTCTCCACGCTACAACTCGCGATGCACTCGACGGCACACGAGCACAGCTCCCGACTCTTGGTTCAGTCGTTCCCGGAGCTCAACACGCTCTCTCGACGATGCACTAACCGCGATACACTAAAAGACTCCTTCGGTGCACTCGACGACCCACTCGGCACTCGTTGCCCGGCTGTCAACTCGATCGACTCCGCACGGCTCGCTAGACGAGGCACACTCTCTGAGACACACTAACTGACTGCGGACCAGCAGGGTTTATATAGCTTTCGGCTTGTGTTCGAAAATAATCTGGGCTAAACCGGTAAGAACTCGTTCTAGAAGGTTCTCCATCCGTCCATGGTATATCGCCAATTATGTCGCCAAATGTGGCAACCCTGCCTTTCCTTGCCATTTTATGGCAACCCTAAAACTGCTTTGCGGGGAAGCCATCTCACCGCGCCTTTACATTTCGTAACAATATATTAAGTAACGCTTTGCGAAACTAAACTTTAGTAAAATGAACTAATAACTAAGGGAAAGACAAACTTCGAAAAGAACTGTGAGTAAACAAAGATACTTAAATGTAAATTTTGAATTTTAATGTTAAGGAAATGATAATTTTGTGTGATATAAATTTGGAGCAGTTACCATAGTAGACGAGATACATCGAAGACTTTTCCCTGTTTTATGCAGCATATGAAGGAATGTAACTAATGTATAAATTGCAGAACCAATTTGTATGCAGAACAATTATTTGTAGCAAATGCTTGAAATATTTGTATGTTCAAATGTATGTTTGAAAGTATCAAGCATATAAAAAACGAAATACTGGATTTGCTTACATATACCTATGTAGAGCAAATGTGGTTATTTAAGCTAAAAGATGGTGTTAAATAATGAGAGTTGTCCTCATTGAAAGCCGTTCTGACAGTTGTAAAAAAGTGTAAACACAAAAACGAAGTTAACGAAATACGAAAACGTGCGAAAAAGAAGTAAAATAGGTAATAAAATGGAGTTTTGTTTTCCAATGCAAGGTAAAATGGAATATTTATAAAGAAAATGTAAAATTGGATTAAACTAATATTAAATAATAATATTCTATTATTAGTGTTTGTTTCAGCATTTACACTTTTGCATTTTCATTACAAATATTTCATTTTGCGTTATATTTGAAAAAAACTTTCCGTTTTGTTATGCTTTCTATAATTTATTTTTTATGTTTTTTTATTTTTGTTGCTTTCTGTTTTTGTGTTTATTCTTTCTTATTATTATCAAAGTATATATGGATGATGGAAGTTCAAGTGATTAAATACTTCCTTCTAATTTAAACAAGCAAGCTTAAATCTTTATGAATATATGTATGTATATCTTTCATGTAATAATGTATAAAAATATGCATACAATTTTTGTTATTTTTAAATAACAACTTACAATGGAAAATAACTGTGAGTTATAATAATGTATAGATTAATAGATAGAATACGTTATTTTTAAAATAACACCTAAAAGTGAATAAACTAAATTAAAAATTTGCTGTAGTTGTTGACAAAAATTACTTTAAGGAATGATTTTGGGATTATGCATTTGAATTCAAAATGCAATTGAATTATTTTTAAAGCCAAGTACATTAATATAAAGTAAGTTACATAATAAATCATGTATTTTTAATTTGGAAAATTTCTTTATAAAAAGTTATTACCTTCGCGCATAAAAAATTTTAAGATGGCTAGACAGATGAATATGTAAGTACTTAAAGGTCAGCAAGAAAATATATTCAGAGATTCATTTCTTTAATATCTTCAAATTGCATGTGGTCTGAATATCTTCAGAGTATATCTGGCTCATACTTAGAACTATAAAACAATGTGAAATTGCATAAACTCCTAAATATCAGCATTACTTTAAAAAAGAAAGAACTGGAAAGGAGGTTTCACGTATTTTATTGTATATAATGTTGTCTTTGTAACATTTTATAAATATCATTTTAGTTATATTTCTAACGGCTCACTAGCGACCGAGTGGTAACGTCGCTGAACACTGGTAGTTCGGTCTTGGGTTTAACGCTTTATGGGAGTTTTCCTGGCTTTCCCTCACGTGTAACTAGTATACGAACCAGTTTTCCTTAGATAGTCCGTCACGAAAACATCTCTCCCTTTTGGCAGATAGCCCACTAGTGCTTTTTCATGATTAAATAAACCAAACGATTGTTTTAACGTGTAATCAATCGTTTTTCTTTCATGTGATCAGCCCCCATAGCCACTTCTTCTCCCATTGCTCGTAAAGGTACAGAAAAGGTTCCAGTGGCTGTTAAATTATCACTTTCCATAATGGACAGTACTGGGACTTGAAATAATCTAATATCGTTCGAGTACTATGCAAAGATCAACAACTGTCTGAAAATAACTGAAAATTCTTCAAGAGATGCCAGGATTAATTCTAAAACATTTGCTCATTCAGACTTTAATTCTGGTTCCACTCAAAACTTTAGACATTGTAGAATTTTCGATAAAATTCGGCCGGTTTTAAACGTGTTAAAAAATACATTGCAATTATTCAATGGAATGTTTGAAAGAATAAACTACGGGATTTTTAACAGGATCCAAGACATAGTACGTACTTCATCCCATTGAAAAGTATTGTAAAATAGAAGTAATAATCTGTATACAAAGTTGTCATTGTTGTATAATACTCAATATAAACTAGGTTTAAGTGTGTTTTAACCTGTATTTAATTACTATCAAGTGTTATGAAGAACATTGTAATCTCTTGCTTCAATTTTATTTGTAAAATAATTTTTAGGTTTTGTCATTTTTCTTTTAAGAAGCTATTTTTTTTCATTCCTTAAGCAAAATTATTTGCTTTTTAAGCAGTAGCGACCCACTGAAATGTCATTAGTGTTCTGTTTTTGAAATTTTTGAAAAGAATTTTGAGACTTTTTGTGCATTTTGATTATTTTTTGAATAATTTTTGTTTGTTCCTTTCCATAGCAACAAGACACTCACATAAAAAATTATCTTTTTTCACAAAATCTTATTTAAAAGCAAAACACGTCTACCTGAAATCAGAGCAAGTCCTAAAAAGTTAAACTTTGCATATTAATAAATTTTTACTTGGTATGTTTCATCGAAAATCCAAACCTTCTTTAATTTTAATTTGCAGGGGCGTATTACTAAACTTGCAGATTGGGTAGTGCCTTATGCAGAATGAGCAGCTGCATAAGATGATTTATATCTTTAAGAGATAAAGGCAATCATGAATTTTCCAAAATTTTAAACTTATAAAATTAAATTTAAATTATTTAAAATATGTCTCTAGATGAGCTAATTGATAATATCTTCATATTAAAATAATAAATGTCTGAATTATTTGCACGTAGTTTTTAACAAAATACATTTTAAACTTTGTATGAAGCGATAGTATTTGTTGTTATAATAGCATTTACAGATCATGTTTATCATAAATTGTATCTATATAGGAGTATAAGGACATATATTTGCTATCTTTTCTATGGAAATAAAATTTTAAATACCAGTCTAATCTGAACAGGGAAGTTGTTACAATGTAAACAGAACAAGCAGTATTTAAAACGTTAATTTTTTGGAATTTTTAAAGTTTAGAAAGGAACAATTATTAGTGAAATCACTACACTGTTTGAAGAACATGACTTCGTATTAAATTATAATTAATGGAGTTCCTGTCAAATTTAATTTTAAAAATCTCTTGCGTATTCATTAAAACTTATTGTAACTGCTTCAGCGTTTTCAATTGATTTGTATCGAAAGGGCAAAAATTCTTAATATGTTTAGGGGCACCAAAATTCTAAATACGCCCCTGCTAACTTGTCAAGTGTTTTTCTGGAGACTAATTGTGTGCCCGTCCTGCCCTGTAGAGGAAAAGTCTGTGTCGTTTTCGGATGAAACCACCACCGTCAGCTCACCCGTCCATCAGAAGCAGCACTCCCCTCAACACGCAGGTGAACATTCTATCTATCCCTCTATTTTTCCTCTCTGTCTTTGCCTTCTGTTCCCTCAGTCTCTGTCCTTCTGTGTTGCTCTTCTTTATTTCTTTGCTAGCACTTTGAACAAGTTTTTGTTTATTTTTTTCTCTTTCAAAGTGCTTAATGCTGTAAAACGATGCATTCCATCACATGCAGTGACATACTTTTAAATAGCACAACAAATTTCAGTTATTTGCTTAGAAATTGTAACATTAAGAAAACTACTAAGATGATATTATATACGACATATTATTTCGTGACGTAATAGTATATTTATTTGCGATATTAAAATGAATAACTAAAATTCTCATATTTTTTTCTGCGTGACTTAAGGAATAAATGAATTAAGTTTAGTTAGGTAATCAAATTTAACTTTTAAATCAAATATATTTATTTAGAGTATATATGAACATTGATGCATAAGGCAATAGTGAAGTTATAGAAAATACTGGGATTAATGATTTCTAATACCGTTGAAATTTCAAATTTAGAAAAAATGTTTTTTATTTTAGGAACGTATCTCATTCATCAAATTAGTGAAACATAACCCACTTTTCGAAGCCTTTTGCTTAGGTTCTTCGTTACAATTGAACTTCGTAATACAAAATGAACAATTAAAAATTTTAATATTTAAGTCATGGATTTGCTGCTTAAATTCTAAAAAATGTTCAGTTGCCTGAAAATCTTTAATTTTAGATTAGACATTTTACGAAATCTTTTATACACTTCCCTCAGTCAACTGATATTGTAAAAAATCCTTTGCCCTGTTAGAGTTTTATAATTTTACAGTGCTATTATTTGTACCTTGAATATTAAATACCTCTTTCTTAAAAACTCTGACAATTTGAGGAATGTTCATAAAAGCATAGAACATTAATATCCCTAAATATCTATCATTAAAAAATTTTAAAACACCATTCAACATTTGTAATAGAAAAATCAAACTGTCTGTTTTTTAGTGTAAATTTCGTATTCTTTATTCATATATGTATCATCAAATAATATATTTTGTTGAGGATATTAATAATAATTTCATCACTAAAGTAGCTTTTAAATCAAAACATATTCTGCATATAATAACATTTCAACTATTTTTTTAAATTTATCTTTATATTTCATTTGTAATAAATGTATCGATAAATAAAGAGAAGATCTATATTTATTAATTTCGGTACATAAATGCTGTTTCTTACCTGATATTGTAATGTTCGTAATTAATAATGATTATTTTCCAAATGCGCGCAATAAATCAGCAATAATAAATACTGCATACTGCAAATAGTTGAAAATATTAAATTAAATTATATCATATTATACATCTGTATAACATTAGAATTTATTTAAGTATTCTATTTAATTTTAGAAATAAAAGGTTAAAATTTTATATACCACTATAAATCTTTAATTATATAATTAAAAATTAATTAAAAGAAATAATTCATTAATTAAATAATTAATTATTTTTCTTTAATTCTTTAAATATTTAATTAATAAATAATTAAAGAAATTAATTATTGATTAAGAAATTATGAATTAAGAATTATGAAATTATGAAAATCATGAATTTCGAAAATTTCAGGATGTAGACGTGTGTTTCTGAAATTACAAATTGCAAAACTTTGCCACTCGCCGTCTGAAAAATTGAATTAAACTTGTTCTTATTTAAAGGAAAATTATTTTTCTTTGTGGAAATATTAAGCAGATTATTTAAATGTATATCATTTTCTCACTGCAGTTTCTAAAATATTAATTAATAAAATTACCAAGCTATGAGCAACATATATACCGTTTAAACTAGCTTCACATGATCAAAACCTGAAATAACAATTTGATTAGCAATATAAATTCAATTTGTTAATTTAAAAAATTTATCTTTTATTTTGAAAAATCAATGTAGAATTATTTTGCGATTTACATAAATGCAAAGAGAAGTATGAGGATATGAGTTTTAATAAAGTGGAATTTAAACTGCTATTTAAAATAATGGTTGGCAAAATTACAAATGTAAAATTGCTTTACAGATCAAGTAAATAAATGCAGTATGGTAAAAATGGAAAATTATGATAGCAGTAAAGCACTATTTATAATTCATAAAGTAATGGGTTTACACAAGCCAATACTTCTGGCTTAATTTAAATAAGTAATGTTGAGCTAAAAAGTCTCAAAGTCACGGTAACAACGTGGCCTCAAGTAAGCAGAACACATTGTAAAAAATAACTTGCGAAACCTTCGCTTAATCTGATAAACACTCAATCTGAACAAACACTCACTGTCTCAATTACATTCTGGCATGAAAAGCATAGGTGAAAAGAGACTAACAGAAAAGTACTTTAACTCAAATCTTAGTCAAAAATAAATGCATAAATTCTCAGAAATAAATCTTCCATTCTATCACATAGCATTCATTTACTTCTTTTACTTATATTCAAACAATTCATTTTTTTAATTTGCAAAATAAATATCCCTAAATATCATAAATAAATTTACAGTCCATCACCACTTGACATTTGTAACAGAAAAATTAAAGTATCTAATTCAGAAACCAATAACAATACGATATCATTCCTTAAACGTATCCATAAAGCCTGAACGTTGTTCATCTCACTTTCAAATTGCCTATTTATGCTTATTTTAAGATAATGAAAAGTTACTCCATTAAAATGAATGCAATTATTTAAATACCTTCACTTATCTTACAACAAATCCACATATTATTTATTGTTAATTGATCTGAATTAGCGACAAAATAAAAATTCATTGTAGAACTCTGAAATTATAATGATTTTCTAATTAAATAGAAAATGCTGAAATAATTAAATACGAATTTTCCACACATGCTTCAAATATGAATTTTAGAATATTCAAAATTTTATTTAAATATGAATTTAATTATTACTTTCAATTAAAATTGGAATTTCTTAATACCGGGGATATGAGTAATTAAAATTTCTAAAAAACTGAAGTATAATTACATTATGAAGCGAGCACATTTTTAAATCTAGTGAATTTCTGAATTTTTCTGCAAAATACCTAATTTTATTCTGCTGCATGTGTTTTTTCTTTCTTTTTTTATTTTGCATGTATATTAATTTAGAATTTTTGCAGGTTGGTTTAAGAGTTGTCATTGGTTAAAGTGCTCTTTTACACAAATTGGTTAAAAAAACGTTTTAAAGGCAATTAATTTAAAAACTTTTTTTACACAAAATATTTTCTATTTTTATTGCAATCACGTTGCTCTGAAATTTAATGAATCAAATTTTCAATCAAAATCATTATAAACTACTGGTGTTATAAACATTTTGACGTCTAACCTTAAAATTTAGATATTTTGAATTTCGATGTTTTCTAAATTTAATGAATGATTAATTATTCAGATTTTTTCAATATCAAATTTTGAAATCGAATCTGCTATATCGACAGTGAAAATATTTTTTGCTTTTGTGTCTAGTTTTTGCTGAATACATTTTTGTGAATTTTGATCTGCTTTTTGTGACTTTGGTGGCTGATCCCTTGTTCCTCTGTGTATGTTTTGCTATTTATAAATTTTAAGCAGATGTAAACGTATCAAACTTAATTCACTTGCAGACTATTTCTATTTCCTTTTTCAGATTTATTTTATAATATTTTATAAATTTTAGATTTGTTTGAGATATTAAAGCTGTCCTGGAATAACATTCAAATGTATTTACTGAAATAAATCTTGGATAACGTTAGTCTTAAGGAAATTATAAGATTTTGTTTGAATTACAGTAGTTTTTCACAATTATGTACTAAACGATTGATTTTTATTTTTAAATTCAAGATATAAGTGTATCGTGAATATTTATGCTGGATTTCGGAAGAGAAATAATTTACTCTCTTATTTTGCGTAGTGAATTACATGGTAACTAATTTTAATTTTACATCTTAAAGTGTAAAGTTTTCTGCCGACATTCCAACTACGGATCTTACAATTGCCAGCTAAACGTGTTACGCAGAGGAAGGCGGTAATTTTAATATAAACGTGTGGCAAATCTTTAAATCACAAGAGAGCATTTTCCATCCAATCGTATTGTAAGACCAAATAATTCTAGAATGAAAATATTTCCTCATGTACACTAGGAGACCGTTTTAATGTAAACTTAAAGACAATCTTAAACCAAAAATCAAAAATTGGATAAAATATAAACTCATAGTACCTCAATATTTTGTAACAATAATGAAACCACAGGAGGTGGTTAAAGAACGGTTATAAATGTCAGTTATTAACTTGGGTAATTAAGAGACCACTGTACTAATCTTAGTTGGAAGTTAAAACTGATTCGCAATTATTCTTGCATTGGACCGAGACATCATTGCCATAATTTTGATTTAAGCTATTTTAAACATAAAAATCAGCAAAAAGTTTTAATTTTTTGCTTTTTGTGATTCCAGCTATTTTTGATTTTTTCAATTAAACGTATTGTTATTGAAAAACTTTTAATATTAAACTAATATTTGATTCGATAATTTGTACAAGAAAATGAATTCTATGAATTTTAAAAACGCTAGGTTCTCTTTATAGGTGATAAATAAATTAGCTAAAATCATACGAGGTATCCAAATTTGGTGTGGCTACATTTAAATGGAAATTGAAAATAACCTAATAGAAATAAAAAAATTTTCAAGCAAATAATTTTATTCCTTCCTCAAAAAATTATTTTGCTTTTAATTTATATATATATGATATATATTTTTTTTAAATGGTTATCTGCAAGTATGTAAAATAATGTAATAAAACTTTCTACCTATGCCTTGGGAAGTTAAAATTTGAGTTTTGTTAAATTTTTCGTATTCAAAAGTTAAATATGAATAACTAAAACTTCTAATTAAATATTTTGTTATCAATTAACTTCATTATTTTTATACATTTTTGAAGAAAGGAAAGAGCTAATTATAGCAAAATGTCGGTATTGAATTATTTTTACTTGTATTTTTGTAATGTTTTATTGTGCATA